TCTGCAAGCCTTGCCTGACTTTAAGAATGAGAGGACAGCCCTGCAGCACCTGGTAGAGAGTAGGGGACACATTCTTTTGCCGTCTCCGAAATGTCACCCGGAGGTAGCGGGGGTAGGGATCGAGTACTCGTGGGGGNAGGGGACACATTCTTTTGTCGTCTCCGAAGTGTCACCCGGAGGTAGCGGGGGTAGGGATCGAGTACTCGTGGGGGTTTTCCAAGCAGAAGTTTCGGCGGAAGATCAATGATGAGGTCCCGAAGCACTTGCACGACAACATCGAAAAGTCGCTGTGCATAGACAAGTACTTGACAATCGGTCGGGTGCGGCGCTTTGCCCGGCGAACACGAGACTACTGCCGGGCTTACCGCGAGATTGCGCTTCGCGGGGTAGTCATCAGGAACAAGGAGTTCCTCGAGAAGATGCGCAAGATCCAAAAGGCCCACCGCAACATTTTAGACATGAAAACTAGTTTTCTTGGCGACCAGTAACAACGTCGGCCGGCCGATGGCGAGGGGGGGGGGTCTCGAGTTGTGTGTGCATGTTTTGTTTTATGCTGTGAGAGAAGCGGGTGTTGTGTGAGCTGTGTGTTGTCGTTGTAGATTGTAGTCGGTGGCATGTACTTGTACATTGGATTTTTTTTCTGCGAGATAAACGGGTGTGGTGGGGGTGTGTGTTAAATGAGTCGGTTTCAAGCTGTAATTTGCATCATTTTTTTCTGTAAGATTAATCGGTGCGAGAAGTGTGTGTGTGTTGATGAGTCTGTCAGTTTGAAAGTTGTTTTTTGATAAGCGGGTGTTTTTTAACCGCTCGCTGTCAATCAACGAACGAAGTGTTTTTTTTTATGTACAAAGAAACGTCAACTTTTGTGCGATTTGTGCAAAACATTTGTCATGCGTTTTTGGAGCGCTTACCTTCAGATTACAACCTCTTGCATGTATGTGTGTCACGTCATTACGATCGATAAGCACCCACACCTACCTGTCCAACCAAAGGGGTACAGTCAGCATCTGTGCGCCTCTTGCCATCAGGCCACTTTCGCGCCCCTTTTCTCGGGCTGTAAGACCTTCATTTTCCTACACAATTTCCGCCCCTGCACCCAGGTATCGAGGTCATGACGCAATTTGCTATTTCCGAGCCGGTTTTTACGAATTGGAACCTGAAATTTTGATATGTGATTAGGAGTGGTCTTACAAATGCCCCCGAGTGAGATGCCGTTTTTTTTTTTTAAGCCACAAAACCCCTATGCTAGGATTCTCAGTTTTTGAATATAGGGATACCTCGCCAAAAAAAAAACGGCATCTGACTCGGGGGCGTTTGTAAGACTGTTTCAAATCACATATCACAATTTCAGGTTCCAATTCGTAAAAACCGGCTCGGAAATCGCTTCTAACCATTTCGTTGACTTCTTGGCTGGCCCAGCTTGTAGAGAGGAAGAAAAAAACGTTGAAAAGTTCCCCGGCTTGTGCTGCTGCTGCTGCTGATTGTTTGAACAGGACGCTTCCGCCACCGCTTTAGATAACAGCAACAGCAGCAGCAGCAGAGGCGACACACCCTCTCGCCCACAATGAGTGTAGAGAGGTGCACAGCACAGCAGTGGCACTACATCGTCTAGGAACGAGCGTGATGTTTACTGGTCCCGTGCTGTATGCTGTGATGTATGTGTGCCTCTCTCCAGAGCAGAGTCAGAGGCCGCTCCCTCCCGCCGCGTCGCAACACAATAACAACAACCAACCGATGGACCCACAGAGACCCAATCAATATCTCTCCTCTCGCTTCCTCCGCCTAAAGCTAACAGCAGCAGTAGTATAGGGCACACCCTGCTCCCATCCCGCTCTCGCTGTGTGGTGTGTGCATCATACGCTGGTTGGTGGGACTCCCTCTCTCTCCAGAGAACAAAAGGCGAAACAAAGGCCGGCAGCTTTGTTGAACAACAACAACAAACAACGGAGACAACAACATCAACATCATCAGCGATGAATGAACCCCAGACCAACCAAACGTTCCCCGCTTCCTGCGCCGTGGCCAACAGCAGTATGTGTGTGTGTCCCGCCCCCCTTGTCCATGTTCCCTGTCTCTGTGTAGTGCGTGTCTTGCCAGTAGCAGCAGCAGTGTGTGCAGCACGGCAGTGCGTCGTGGTTTCAGGCGTGCGTGTAGTTTGTTGCCCAAAGAAAAACAAAAATAACGCCTCTCGGGGATGCGTCCATGTGACATATATATTTGCACAAACGGTGTGCTATCTCGAGACACCGACCACGGATTGCAAAGGTAGCGGTTGGGACAGCTCGGGCAAAATATTACTTGTTGTGCGCAAGTTTTACTCAGTAGTTTGTTTGCAATTTGGTGCCGAGATGGTGAAATGGGCTCGAGTCTGCGGGGTATTTAGGGCGCGCAGACAGACAGACACCCGACAGACAGACAGACAGCCATGGCTAAATTTTCACGCCCCTGTGCATGAAAATTATTCTTTTTCTCGTGCGCACATACTCCACACACGATCCCTCTACACAGCTTTTTTTCGCAAAACAAAACAAAAAGCGTACCCCTAACGGGCCACCCTTTAAAAAAAAATAATCTATTATTAAAATTCAGCACGCACCGACCGCAGGAGGAGGAAGGCGGGGCATGAAGAAAAAAATAAAGAAGAAAAATGCCCTGCCTGGTGTTTACCCCCTCCCTCCTGTTACTGTGTGACCCTGGATGGTTGTAGTTGTACGAAAAAATACACTGAAAAGTGTAGGACTCTACAAACATACGCTGAAAAAAAGTGTAGTACACGTCTCACCACGAAAAATGGGGGGACTGCGCCATAATAAATAAATAGGACGAAAACACACAACAACAATAACACACACACACACCGGTCGCCCCGGTGGTCTATAATAGTGGGTAGCCTCGCAGCCTGCTAAGGGCCAGGTCATGGGTTCGAGTCCCGGCAGAGAGATTTTTCTCTCACTAAATAAATCCTGGTCTAGGATGAAAGCGACGCGCTGCAAAGCTCGTTTGTTTGTTGTTAGTAAACCATAATCCACTTCGTAAGTCGCGAGGGAAGGGATTGCTGTACCCTTCTCGCGATAAAAATACCTCAGGCAGGAAACGCAGGAGGGGGTCCAGCCCCCCCCTCCTGTGTGACCCCGGTTGGGTCGTCTAGCTAGTAGAAGTGGAGGATAGGGGCCGGAGGGGCAGACGACAGAGTCCAATGATGGGAGAAAAACAAAAACAAAAAACAAACACAATGAGGGAGAAAAACAAGAAAAAGTACAACAACTTTGTATCTTCTTTTTTCTGGCTTTTGATCTCTGTCTGAGGGCAATCCACATCTCATCAAGCCCTCAATCAAGAGTGGTGGTGGAGAGTGCCATCAAACCCGTACAACAGCGGGGAGCATATGGTTGTCCGCGATGTATGTGTGTGGCAGTACTGCAAACTACATACAGTCAGTATATATCATACAACAACAGCAAACAGCACTCTGCTGTGAACAGCAGGGGCGCGGGGGGTGGGGAGGGGGGACTCTGCCCCCTACAAAAAAAAAATGCACTTTTCTCGATGCTTTCGAAATTTGTCATTATTATTTTGCGTACCCCCTTTGCTCGCCAAGGGGG